CTCTGTAAATGGACATGCTTTAACCTAACTCAACAACTAAGTTCGAGGAAGTAGTCGGTATAAGACTAAATACCCTGTACCAAAAAAAATATAAGGCTAATAAACAACAACTTATATGTGCTGTGACTTGTGACAAACCTGATAAAATACGATATAAACACAACTTTAAATTATTTATTTATTGTTATTGTTTTTTTGTAAGAAATTATATTCTTTGATCTCAAAAAAGGAAAATTTTCGTAAGGAATTCTGTTACACCAAACAGCGTTGGTTTAAATCTTTAATATTCTGTACAAATTCGACTATAAATCACCATTGAATCAGTGTCAAATCATTTGAACCCATTTTTCAAGTAAAAGACAGTCACTATTGTTCTCTTGGGTGAAGGTTATTTATGTAATTGCATCGTGTTATATAATTCTCAATATTTCTTTATTTAGTCTTTTTTTTTGTTAATGTATATTTATCAAAATTATTAATATAAATAAATTAAATATGAGTTGAATAAAATTTAAATATAATATGAATCTGATATACTATGATGAGAACACGTGTACAAAAATAATAAAAAAATATTTCATTAGAAAAATTATTGCATCCAATCTTGACTTCAAAGATTTCGACTCAATCATAATCTTGAGTTACCAATATTGTCTTTTGATAATTTAGGGATAGTTTAATAGTTTTTAATAAGTCAGATATCTCAGTTTTAATCTTTCTCACACTCTTTAAGGGTTAAGTTAGTCATCCTTGTTTTTTTAAAGACGTGCTCTAATTCAGTTTAAGTTACGGTGGTCAATCGCTGAGTTCGAAAAAGTAATTAATGTAAGTCTAGACATTCATGTAACTAAAAACACTATTTTTTTTTTTACATTTTGTATTTGTACTTATACTTGAATTAGTATATAAATTTGAATCGAAAGGTCGCAAATAATGTGATTCCACCCTTGTCTTCACCACACCAAAACCCTAAAATAATGTAATTCTAAGCAAAATCACTGATAATACTTTTTTGTTATTCTATTATTAGACGTTGATGCAAATTCTAGAATTTATACCACTCGAGTTGGTGGTCTAGTATTAAGTCATATTTGTTTGAAGTCGTCGTTAACTCTCATGTGATTATCAAATAGAATTTACTTCACATAAGTAACGTGGTTTGTTATTTGATTTTGTTGATACAGTGGTGATAGACTGTCCTTTCGAATTAATAAGTATGACTCAAATCAAACATTCTACAGTGGGAGAACCCTCAAAAGAAATTATTGCTTACTAGTCGTTCTTCCTCCCATTTTATTTAGCAAAAAAAAAAAAAAAACTCTAGAATTTATAGTTAATTATGGTGGATGGTCGACGGCGGTCCATGGTGGTTGAGGTGGGCTGCGGCAGTGCAAAGAATGTTTTGTTCCCTTTGTCTTCTACAAGTAAACCCCTTTACATTATTCTTTGATTAATGTTATAAGGATCCAATCTATAGACTTAATCGAAATCTTAATCTATTATAGTCATTTTATGAATTCTATCGATCGGTTGACTCTATTTTCGCTAGGCACTTTTTTAATTACTTTTTTATTTATTATTGAAGTTTTATTTCTCGTGTCTTTTTTTTGTCTCTTTCATTTTTTGTCTAACTTGCTCTTAGTGGTATTGTGACAGCCAACTCGATTATTTTAAATAAATAGTTATAATTTAAACTAAATAATTTATAATTGATGAGAATTTCAAAATAACGTCTTTCATAGATTGGTACGTCTGGTGGTCCCTGCCCAACATTTTGTTTCAATCTTTCACATTATCAACTCACCAACTCCTCTCTCTTTCTCTCTCTATATATACATATCTACATATCTATCTGAGTTTGACCCGTTAGCCACCTATAGGCAGCTACTTTCCGCTCCACCAATGGCGACCCACCACCCTACTCTAGAGGATCATTTTATGAGTGGGAAACGTGACTGGAGCAGCCTCACTTTTGGAGGTAGCAAAAAATTAAATAAATTAATTACCTTTCCTCTCGTTACTTTTTTTTTCTTCTCCTAAATCTAGGGCGTAATTTGGTGAGTTAGGCAGATTGAGAGGTCAAATTTTAACATAATTTTAAATATAAAATTTTTTACTCTAACTCTAACATTAACTCGACTTCAACTCGAAGTATTCAATTCGAATATTGCCTAAATTAAATTCGGACGGATTCAGGTTATCCAATTCAGACTTATTTTGTAAGACCCTGTACTAAAATTAAATAAGAATACTAATATCTTAAGAGTTTTTCAAATATGAATAAAATGAGGATAAAAACTTAGAATCATTGTTGAAATATTAATCATGAAGTTTGAGTTTCGAACGGATTGACTTTTGGGTCAAACTTAATTTTTTTTTTTTTGGATGTGTTTAAGATTGATAAGGGTAACTAAATAAATATATTAATTTTTTTTTATCAAAATAACATTACCATTGAATTCGGGAGGTCGGAAAACATTGGGAGAGGTAATATGGGATGTATTAGAAGTTAGGAAGTATTTTAGAAGTAAAACCAAATTGGAGTGNTGTATTAGAAGTTAGGAATTATTTTAGAAGTAAAACCAAATTGGAGTGAAATTGGGTAAAAAGGGGTGATAAACATTGCTTAGTATTTTGATCATAATTTTATATTTTGATGTCCAATTGATCTGAAATTTTGACAGGAAATAGTAGACATCTAGGGCTACAAAAGTGTATTTCATGAAAAATTTCCAATTCGACCTCTAAATGGGTCAAAACTGACCTGGAAGTCGCACCAAAAATCTGTGAACAGTACGAAGGAAACCCGATTTTTTCTGAACAGAAAATATCGGGTTTTGCTCGATTTTCTTGCCCTATAAAAACCTAATGTCGTCCCTTTAGCATTCATTTCACCCCTCCAAACCCTAGGAACCATTTTAGAGGAAGAGAGGAAGATAGAAATACCAATCAAGAGGGATTTATACCTTGTAGAAATCAAAACTTCAAATTCTTCAAGAATACATTCTCCTCCCATTTTCTTCCATTCTTGCTACCCTCTCACCCAAATCTTTTGAAACCCTAGGAGGAGAAGATTAAGAGGAAAAGAAAGGAGAGCAAGAAGGTCTTGAAGCTTGGGTCTTAGCTTGGAATCTTGATTTAAGGTAGGGGATTTTCTCTCAATCTCTCACATTGAGGCTAGATATNTAAGAAGGTCTTGACGCTTGGGTCTTAGCTTGGAATCTTGATTTAAGGTAGGGAATTTTCTCTCAATCTCTCACATTGAGGCTAGATATATATCTATAGATATATATATGTATATAGATATATGTTT